GGGTATTATTCTGGGAGACTTAAAAGGAATTAATGCAATTAGTTGCTGGGTAGGAATGATGTATTTTTAGCAAGTAAAATAGGAGCGGGAAAAGAGAGGAGACTAACAGAATATAAACATTTATGGAATGTGAAAGTCGGAGTGTCATACACAGAGAGATAATTTATAATACAGTGTGCTTGGTTAGCATGAAAAACTAAAGTCCTAAAGAGACATTTCCATTTATCACACCCAAACTTTGCATTTATGGTAAATGCAATTTTAACCGTAATCTAAGTGGATATTTTTGAGTATGATCAAGATGAAGGCCATATAGTACAGGGATTGAAGGTTATGGCACCAGAGAATGTTGCAAGACCAGCCGTATGTCAAAGAATGCTGGAATAAAATAAGGAGCAGAAGGTTGTCCTTCTGCAGACTCAGACACACCACAAACAAATGTAACTGAAGCAGCCCAGCACGTGCATGCCATGTTCGTGCAACAACACAGAATTGTGTAGTTCAGTGCCAGTCACATACATAGTATAACAGTTTGAATCAAAGTACCATCCTCCATATATAGATTGAGATAACAAAAAGAGAAGTGAGAATCTGACTCATTAGACTACAGCATAAACATACAAAATAGTCCAGTAACCAGGGGCTGAGAAGACGGCACTGGCTACTGTTGTAGAGGACCCAAGTTCTGCTCCCAGCACCCATCACAGTTGGCTCCCAGCTGCCTGTAACTACAGCATGAGTTTATTTAGTGCCCTCTTCTGGCCTTTATTGGTATCTGCACACATATGTACATACTTACACATACATGCACACACATACACACCATATACATAAATAAAAATAAAAATAACTTTAAAAGTTTTCTAACAAGCCCGTTGAAAGATGTGTTTGGAATGTAAATAGGATTGTGAATAATTTGGAATTGGTGAAAAATTTGAATATGTACCTCTTTCTGCATATACAAATACATCCCAGATATATTAAGTCATTACGTATTCCAAAAATAAGAGTAAAGTTTTGTAGAAAAATTAACACACATACAAGACAATTTAACTATAAAAGTAAAGCCAGGACCTAAACATGGTCAAATTATATGATTGGGTGAATTTTTCATTAAAGATAAAAGACAGTAAAATTATTTTAAACAGGAAAATAATTACTGTCACCATTAAAACAATAAAAGAGAAACTCAAGTACGACTTATATGTTTTTCTTAAGTGTCAAATACAAAGTTAGGACATTGGCTAAATGTAGAATGCATATTTATGGTTGGCTGTTTCATAAGTAATTTAAATCACTTGATGTGGGTTAAATATAAGTTCATAAAATATTCCTATATTTTGGTTTAATGATATTGTTTCTGAAAATATTTTAAGGAAAATAGTATTTCTAGTGATACAGATAAAAGTATGCGAATTCTTTCCATACCCTGGAATAATGAAAGAAGTGATTTCATGCAAACTCTGTGGAATAATATGTGGCTGGTAAGGATGAGCAGTCTGAATACATGGAAATAAAAAAATCGCTTACAGAATAGCAAGTAGAAAAAAAAAGAATGTGTGTGCAGTAGAAAGGCATCTGTATAAAATATACTCATACTGGAGCAAATAGTAGATACTGTGTTTGGGTTACAGTATAGGACAGTCTTTCTGGTTCCAACATTTAAGGTAAAGGATTTGTGCCCTCCAGGAGGTGAGGTGCCTCAACTTGAAAGGGGACATAGTATAAAGGAATCCAGGAAATATGTTTCTAGTTGCAGACCCTGAGCCGTATTGACCTTCTGAGTCTCATGGTCACTGTCAGTGAAAGGAGAGTGTTGGGAGACTGCTCAGCATTAGCTCAGGTGTGTAAGGACAGGGTGACTCGAGCTTATAGTACCAGCCGCTGCGAGCTGCTTTGATGAGTGTTGCAGCACAATAGCACCACCGTGCCCCAGGGAGTACCCCATGAACCTGCAGAGCTTGGTCCCAGTGTTTAAACAGGGAAAGCCATCCAGCTAGCCCCAGCCAAGCAAGGCCAGCTGAAGCAGTTCAATTGGTGACAAACACAGTCAAGTAGTAGCTAGCAATAATAGACTATTCTACTGACTAGACCTTGAAACACAAGGTTCAGATCAACTTTGATTTTTCTGACTGAGCAGCGCCCCATTCTGCCTAGTGCCAAGTATGGTGTGGGCAGCAGTAAAAGATGGTAGAGGGAGGCAGTGTGGACCCAGCCCCTTCAGGGAGCTGTAAAAATGTTTCTGTGTTTCCTTTTTCCTAGCTTTAGATGATAGGGATCTACTGTAATGCCGTGTGTCACTGTTCATTTTTAAGGAAATGACTATTAAAGAAAATGTCTTGTGGTTTGCCCACCTAGGCTTACAGGCAACATAATTGTATCTTCTGTGCTAATCACTTGCAGTCATGTAATCAAGTCACTCATGGGTGAATAGTGTATTTTCCTTAACCGCTCTTGGGCTTCCACAGCGGGTAACTGTACCACGTTTAGGCACTTTGCAAGCATTGTACATGTCCTTAAGTCATTTGAAATCACAGCTCACCCCCAACAACAGATAATAGAGAAGATGCTTGCTGCAGCTGGGTAGGTGAAAAGGCTTTTGGCTTATGAGCTTAATAACAGATGGACCTAATAACTGGTTGTACCCAGAAATTTATATAATTTAAGAAACCCGTATTCTATGTAAGAAGTGAGCAAGACTGGAAAGGGATGTTAGATTTCCATGTTTGTACTAGCCAGTCAGTTTCACATTTAAAAATTAAAAAAAAAAGCATTTTAAAGAACTTTCAAGCTTGAAGTCTGGGGAGATGGCTGGCTCAGTGGGTAAAGAGCTTGATACACAAACATGAGGTACTGACATCAGATCCCCAAACACCTCTACGTACACACAAAGCCAGGTGTGGCTGTACACATCTGCAATCCTAGTGCTGGGAAGGATTGCTACCAGCCAGTCTAGCCAGTAGGTGAGTTCAAGGTGTAGCAAGAGCTCGGGTCTCAAAAGATGGAGTGGAGAATCAGAGAGGAAGATAATGATACCATTTGGGTTCCTCCTGTGTATGCACCCCCACACCAACACACATGTGTACGCTACACACAGCCACACAAAATGAAAAGAAATTGTGTAGGAAGAAGGAATCTTGAGGTGTGTTCTGCCTCATGAGGAGATGAGCCCTAGTCTATTCTAGAAAGTGACCATCTAAAAGAAGCTTGCTCTACCTTATATTCACAAATGGTATCATGAACCTAGGTATCATGAAAGTCTTTGAAATGCTTGCATAACCTAAAAGAAAAATAGAGAAATATTTTTCAGCTTTTGGTGTTCAAAGGCACAGTATGGTTTGTGCTGTGTCATCTCATCGAATGACAATTTGCTGATTCAGCAAAATTAACACACACACACACACACACACACACACACACACACACTCAGAGAGAGAGAGCGCGCGTGAGATCCACAATAAATACATGGACATACACACAGTTATGGAGACATGTGCTTATGCACACACACACTGGCATAGAATGAGCTGGGGTCAGGTATGGGACAGTGGTAGACCTCTTGCTTTGCAAGTGCAAGTCTCTGAGTAGTATTCCCAACACCACAGAAATAAATGGATGGATAAGTTAATAACCAAAGCCTATGACATTTGTCTTGTCATACTAATGGCAGGAACTCTGGAAAGTAATAAGGACTGTTTATCTTTGCTAATGAAGAAGTCTCTTGCGTCTATGCCCAAGTGAGCTTCCTGAATACCACTCTGAACAGCAATGAAGCCAGAATCTAGGCATAGATTTAATTGAAAGTTCATGCACATTCCCTTGACTACTATAGGCTCTACTTGGATGTGGCTATTGTTATTTATATTACCATTACTTGCAACTGGTTTCTTGTACACACTGATTAATTTTATTAATATGTGCAGCAAGATTGTGGAAGTGGCCATCTCACAATTCCAAATTGTGCAATAAAAACCAAGTATATGTGACTTTGGGATATGGGCTTGAACTTTGGCTAGGATGTGGTCGTGTCTATGTTCTGTGGCTGCAAATTACTGGCTTGTTTGAAAATACGGAATCTACCCCAGTGAGACCTTATTCAGGATTAGCTTGAAGCTGTGTGATTTTCTATCATATCCTCTTCTGCTCTGTCCTTTCCTGTCTATTTTTTTGGTTTTACGAGACAGGGTTTCTCTGTATTGTTTTGGAGGCTGTCGGTCCAGCCCGGCCTCGAACTCACAGAGATCCGCCTGCCTCTGCTTCCCCAGTGCTGGGATTAAAGGCATGCGCCACCACCGCCCGGCTCCTTTCATGTCTATTTTAGTCTCTCTCTCCAGGTGAGCTATTGCTCTCTTGGAACTTCTCCCACAACTGAGAGAGTAATTTGATTTCTGGACTTCAGGGCAGGTGCTGTGCTGACAAAATGAGTGGAATGTGCTGGTAATATTTGTAATCAGCTGTCGATGGGGCTTCACTACTGTGAACAGTTGCTGGGGAAAACAAGACAGCATGTTCAGGATGATCTGGAAATCCACGTTGCGTGATCACTGTTACATATAAATCATCAGTCTAGGTGTTAGTGTCTGTTCCTTAGCAGAAATCGACTGTAGCCAAGATTTAATGGCTTTTGTGAAATGCAACCTGCAACTTGGTTGTGTCAGCCAATTATACTAATCAATAGGGGTTATTACAGAACGACTATTTCAGTGCTTGCATGTGTGTGTGATTTTTAATGTCTTTGCATTATGTGGTCAATTATTCCTGTGTGCCTGTCGGGGTTGGCAATAAACTTTTTGTGGTATTCTGTAACTTTAATCTCTTTATGCTTGAACATTCATATACCCCAATTATAAAATTTAACCCGGTGACCAAATACTTTTGTTATTTGGTAGCACCATAATAGAAAAATTGTATTCCTAGTCTTAATCTGAATTTTGTATTGTTAAGTTACAGATAGCATCAAGCTCCTGATTAAAGTGCTCTTCTGTTTGTGTTTTCATTAGGTGAAGTCTGTGAGTTTTGTCAAAGACAATGATAATCGGATCTACTTGAAAGATTAAGTGAATTGATTTGTTTGGAAAGTTCTCTCAACAGTCAGCTAATAGGTAAGTGAATGTACATGCTTTCTGTGGTTTGACTTCAGATACCAAAGTGTGATATTAAGTAGGTGTTAAGTGAGATTTTGATAGGAGTAATTTGAAGCCCTCAAAACCAGTGATCGATCTTGGGGCTGTTACTTAATGAATGTATTTGTATATCTGTCCAGCAGTTGAAATTTTTTTCAGCTTTAAAATTGTGTGTGTGTGTGTGTGTGTGTGTGTGTGCGTGCGTGTATGTGCATGTGTAAATGGTGTGTGTGTGTGGTGTAGGTGCATGTGTGTATGATGTGTAGGGTGTGTGTATGTGTTTATATGTATGATGATTGTGTGTGGAGAGTGTATGTGCATTTGTGTGTGTATGATTGTGTGTGGGCTGAATGGGCATGTGTGTGTATGATGTCTATGTGGAGCATGTATGCATGTGTGTGTATGATACATGTTGTAGGGTATTTGTGTGTGTGTGTGTGTGTGTAATATGGGGGTGTGTGATTGTATGCACATGCACAGGCCTGGATACACAAAGCCCAGATGAGGATGTCAGATATCCTGCTCTAGGAGTCAGACACCCTGCTCTGTGGCTCTCTGCCTTATTCATTTGAAAGAGGGCATCTCACTGACTAGACTAGCAGCCAGCACGCCCACACACACCAAGACCTCCTTGCTCTTCATCCACAACGCTAGAGTTACAAGCAAACACAAGGCTGTGCCTGGCTTTTTACCTAGGTGTTAGGATATGAACGCAGACCCTCCTGCTTTCTGACCAAGTGCTCTTACCCACTGAGTCATCTCTGTCATCTCTGTAGTCTGATTTAGTTTGAACAATGGGAAACACCACTTACTATTTGAAATTACTCCTTTTATTGAAAATTCTGTTTTATTTCATTCTATTATATTAGATACAGAGGATTGAACCCTGGGCCCTTACACAGGCTAACTTCAGGTTGTGCCAAACCCCTTTTATTTATAGTTTTGTTGAAAATTTCCTTGTAATCTTGAATTAATATGAGGATATCCTATTTTACTTTGGAGGAAATTTCTCTCTCTCTCTCTCTCTCTCTCTCTCTCTCTCTCTCTCTCTCTCTGTGTCTGTATGTGTAACTGCATCTTATTGAATTTAAATCTAAGATACAGTGAGCTTTTAAAGATACCCCACATCTTGCCATATTAAACCATTATTATGCTATGGATATTTCAGTATGTATGTGATATGAACAGACATTTAAGTGAGGGCTTGCTCAGTTGAACTTCATGCTGTTCTGGATAGCACTGGAGGCTCCTGAGATAGAAAATTGAGAACCAGGAGGAGTTTAGGCTGTTCCCAGATCTCCAGGGACTGCCAGAATTTAGTGGGAACAGGACTTTGGCTACTCTTAAAATGTCAGTGTAGTAAAGCCTGCTCTCTCAAACAGATTTTTGGCATCAGAAAGTCTAAATGATTCTGATTTTAGTGCTTGATATTTTTTTTAACTCAGGAAAACTCATGCTTTAATTAACCCTTTGTATAGTAACAGATAATTTTTTGGGGGGGTGCTGTTTTCCTAATTTAGGCCACAAGATTTGAAATACTGAAGTTTTACACATTTTTCATGATGCTAAAATTGTGTACCTTGTTATTTAATTTCTCTTCAAATAAACTGGAACAATTTAAGAATTCAACAAGTGTTAATGAATAAGAGAAGAAAGTGTCAAATTATTTAGGGAGGCAATTTCAAACAAAACCAACCACTAATGTTTGTTTAGCTGTGAGCACCTAAAGGTGCCATGAGTTAGATAGTCTCTCTCTGATAGTATTGTATGAACAGTGAACACCAGCATCTGCCTTAGCTGCGGTGATGCACTTGAAGACCCTGGTCTTAGATCTTGCTCCATTTGTGTAGCCTTTGGGCATCCAGGAGAGGAGAAATATAGAATCTACAAACTGCAGGTAATTTTTTTCATCCTGCCTTGTAAGGCTCATGCTTCAGACTCATGTGTGACCAGAAACTCTCTTTGTTATGCAAATACAGTGCCATTTGGAGACAGTTTTGGATAATTAAAGGGATACAAGAGGGTGTCATACGTGTTTGTGTATTGACAGGTTGGTTCAAAGCTACACCATAGGCTTTAAGAGCATCTATACATGACTTCCAATGACCTCACTTCATTTCATCATTAAAATAGATCCACATGGAGCCCATGAGTTACTACTTGAGTCTATGAGCTATGTGGTTTCATTTATCAAAAAGTATTTCCTTGAATTTTTCAAGCAAACACTTGGCCACATGTATCATTCATTCATGAGATCAATAATGTATCCATCTATTTAGTCAGTCAGTATTCATTAAGCCAGTCATGCGAGCAACATACATTTCATCCCAAGTCTGTTCTATAGCTACTCAACACCCTGATGGAAGGCTTCTCTCTTATTTAGTATTACTCTTTTCTGTAGCATTATTTCTGACTCTTTCTTTGGTTTGTACTGTATGAGGGCTGTGTGGGGGAAGTTCTCATTTAGTTACTTTCTGTACTACCCCTGCATTGTGAAACCGAGTTACTTTGTGCTTTGTTTCTGTGTGTGTTAGCACATAAGTGAGGTAGTTCATCATTTACAAACAGCATTTACCTGTGTTATCTCATGTGAGAAAACAGCTATGATATAGAAACTAAATGCAGTTTATTTTGTGTACAAGGAAGTGAAGGCTACTACTGGAGTGGTGGTGCTGTAGCTAGTGACTTAGTCAAAGGCACAGCCCTAGTGACTCACAGGGACAGACCTCAACCCTGATTTACCCATTGTCAGATGACATGTCACAGTCACTGTGAGGTCATTATTCAAATATTGGAGCTTTGTGGATCTGGTCACTACATTCTGTTTAATATGCCTCATAGAGGGAAAGAAAAGCCATGTTGAAAGTATGAGAATCCGATTTTAGGGATTCTCCAGACAGCCCAGAAGATCAAAGACCAGCATGGCATGTGGACACACATTTTCCAGACCCCTAACATCTATGATCTAATGAAAGATGCTGTTAAATTTACCAGTCATTCTCCCCTTCTGAGAACCTTGTCATGTTCAAGCAATGCTCCTACATGTTCAGAATGAGTTCTTGAATTCAGGCTCCTTGGGCAGTTACAGCTTTCCATATAAATTCTTAAACTGAATAATGAACAAAACCACCTATGTGGAGATCTTAATTTTATGTTTGAACTTAATGCCGCTTATGGTTAACTTAATGCCACTGTGACTTCTTATTGGTGAACTTTCTCTGCTGCACAATCACTCTGTCTATTGTTTACACTGATGGAGGATGAACTAAACTGATGTCATAGTCTGGCTAATCCTTTCATTTCAGAGTTAACTTGTTTTATCTTATCTGGTCTCAGAATTTTTTTCTGTTTGTGTGTGTGTGTGTGTGTGTGTGTGTGTGTGTGTGTGTGTGTGTTGTGCGCACACATGCCTATGGTAAAGTAATTTATGTGAATTGTATGTTTTGTTGTGTATCTTAAGGCCCCACTTGAGAGCAACAATAGATCTTTATTTTGTCAATATCTTTCTCAGCCCGGCAGAAAATAAAGAGGCTTGAGCAAAATAGTTGACATCCCATAACTATTTGTTGAATTTCATTAAATGTTTGTGAATTTCCTTTCAAAACCAAGGTTGGAGTCTGAAAAATTGATTGAGATAGATAGATAGATAGATAGATAGATAGATAGATGGATGGAGATAGATAGATAGATGGATGGATGGATGGATGGATGGATGGATGGACAGATAATGACTTAATGACATTAGTGATATGGACTAATAGGTCTGAATCTTACTAAATATACAGAGCAGAGTCAAGAAGGAAAAATTTCCAAGCTTTTAGTGTTCTCATTTTTAATGTTTTCATTTGATACTTTATTATAAAAAAGTATCAAATAAGAAAAATCACACACCAAGACAAACCAAATCCAAAGACTGTACATAAGTGTGTAAGAATATATTTGATAGTAAATATAAAATCCACTGAGAAGCTCTGTAGTTTCTGTTCTGAATGGCTGCTCTACGGAGCTCCACCCTGGATTTTCTCCTTCCTTGAGTTGTGTTGTCTTTGGGTCTAGGATATTCTTGAAATGTAAAACGCGAATTCTCTTAAAATAAAACAAATACAATGGCAACAAAAATAATTACCTCAGAAAAGACTCGTGAGATGAGGTGACATGTGACCTGGGAACCTGTGAACTTGTAGGATACTGGGAGGTTTGGGGACAGAGAGCCGAGACAAGATGGCCCTGTATCAATGTCTACAGGGCAAAGGTGTAGATGCTGCCTGTGGCCCTGGCTGAGGATGTCCTGAGTGTTTGTGAGCAGTAGAGTGTCCTTTAGGAGGCTTTTGCTAGTTGTGTTCCCTGGTATGAGCAGCAATGGGGTAGGGTAAGAGGGTATAGCAATCACTGTAGGCTTAGGGTGTGTTCGCATTAAGTCACTCAAGAACTGTCACCTAGTGGTGTGCCCTTGTTGTCTCCCCCCCCCCCACTCACATCACAGGCAGAGGCCCTGCCTAGGTCGCTTAAGTAAATGTTGGTGTCCTAGGCTCAGGGAAGTCTTTCTCACTTGACTTCAGGAAGTCTTTACACCTGTCTTTTCTCCTCAGTTCCTCATACCTCAGGTTTTGAATGCTGGGCTTGTGTCACTGCCTTCAGGCCTACTTGATTTCCTTCAGGCTATCTTTACACTCACGCAGGTCACTACTCCTTGTAACTGTTATTGTATCCTGTGTATCCCAGGGCACAGTCCTTGGCTGAAAATGTGACAGTAGTACCTGGAGGGCCTTGTCATCTCCTGACTTTGTAGAGCGGAGCAGTTGTTGGGTCCTGAGTTGGAATAGCATGGCAGCACAAAGGACAGATGGGCCACACAGGATTGGAAGGGAAATATATAGAAAGCAGTGAGGGATTCCTGACTGGATGGGGATTCTCTCTCTGTCTCTGTCTCTGTCTCTGTCTCTGTCTCTCTCTCTCTTTCTCTCTCTCCACCAAAGTGC